CCTTGAGGGTAGAGGTGCTGAGAGGCATGAGACTGGAAGGCAAAGTGAATGAGAAGGGGCGGAAAGTTAGGTCGATCGATCGGGTCATAGCCCTTCAGAGTTACAGGATATATAAATGACACAAGTATACAGAGTTCATCACATTACGTCATTAAGACAGAGAGATGGGGATGGTAATCAGAGACGGGTGAGAGACAGAGCGAGAGAGAGACGGACAGGCACAGTGAGGGTAGATGGGAGAGAGGGTATGGTGGTGTTGGCAGGGATCGTGTAAGTGGAAGGCAGGAGAGAGTGGTAGAGTAAATAAATCGTGATGATGATATAAAGGGGGTTATTTGGTGAAATGAACAGGCTCAACACATGGGGGGTAGGGTAGCAAGTACACTGCCATCGTACAAAATTATTAACACTGGCAGAGTACCGGATATATTGGGCTTACTGTTCTACAAATATAATTTACGATATGTTCTGATGTTTAAACACAATATTATTTTGACCCACCCCAACTACACTACAACCCAATCAACGACTTAGTAGCTTCAGTCTGGAGAATTGAGCACCATATAACTACTCGAGCCTGGAACTAATTATGTAATGATAAAGAAATGAAAGCATGTCGCAAGGATCAACTTCGAGTAATCAATCATACATAGCAAATCACAGACATGATCAAGAGGGGTGATTGAAGCATTACCAAAAGTCGGCACTCAGACATCTTTGCCGTAAAGTTTGATCAATAGCGACATTCGCGCCTATTTTCGACACAGCTGGAGATCCCGCTGGGTCGAGCAGCAGAGTCTCGTCCCGGAATCAATTTTACTAGCCGTTATTTCATGTTGGTTTTGGAATGATTTTCTCAGTAAATGCACGCTGTAAAATAACGAATAATTTCTTCCAAGGGCTGGTACACAAATAGCGTTACCGAGGTCCCATTTCGACTGCGTGCAAGTCAAAATCCAAGCGAATATTATGACTTTTCTCCATGTAAAGAGATCCTAAAATTAATGTCAAGGACAAATTTGGTAATCACGTGCTACCCATGTGATACCATAGAAAGAAGGTTATCCTGATGATTAAATAGTTCAAGAGATATGTGAATTTGCCGTTTTTAGTGAAATATTGATGATACCAGGTGAGCGTTTACTGTCCCCGGATGACACCCGGCAGAAACAAATGCAAAGTCAAGGAAATTATTCACCTGAAAAATACACCAGAATGTATGGTGCAAATCAAAATAAGGAATTTCATCGGACATCATATTTTTCACTGACGGGTCAGACTTGGAAATCTGTCTGTCTCAGCTTTACTGAGGCCCTGAAAGTTGAACCCCTGATTGAAGAACTTCTGAGCAAGGGTCAGACATCGGTCTTTGAAATCATGATAAAAAGAGCATGATCGATCATGCATTGTACCCAAAAGTTGTGAAATGTAAACATCAAATGCCTTAGCTATTGGAATATAAATAGATAGTTGACTATTTAAAAGTTGTAGTCACCCCTCTTGTAATATAGCCTTGTGGAGAAGTGTTTATAACAAACATGTCCTCACATCGACACGCGCACGGAGATTCATTTGAATGAGTGAGTGAGTTGTGTTTTACGCCGCTTTTAGCAATATTCCAGCAATATCACGGTGGAGGACACCAGAAATGGGCTTCACACATTGTACCCATGTTGGGAATCGAACCCGGGCCTTCGGCGTGCCGAGCGAACACTTTAACCACTAGGCTACCCCAACGCCCCAGATTCACTTGGGCGTAAATAGCAAGATAGTGGTTAAAAATATATTAATAGATCACTGTATGCCAGTGATGACCCAGATTACCTTGTTTAATGTCCAATATAGTTTTACGCAAAATGAACAACACGAAATACAAAATAATCATAAAACTGAGATGAACAAGGTTATTTCAGATATATACATGTACATTTCTGTATGTAGTTGATACCGATATAATGACTGGTTGGGGGGTATGGACATACATACATACATACATACATACATACATACATACATACATACATACATACATACATACATACATACATACATACATACATACATACATACATACATACATACATACATACATACATACATACATACATACATACATACATACATACATACATACATACATGGGTAAGTGAGCAGTCAAACAGGTATTGTAGTCAGAGTAGCTCGATACATATAGTGTTCGTTGGATGAAAGGGTCTGATGGCATATGACTAATCACCACGAAATAAATAAATACAGTAACTAACGGTATACAACCAATCATATATGTCTTTAATCGGGACTGTGCACCAATCTTTAATTGAAGATACATGTATAATGTGTAAATAGGAATATGGTTTCCTTTAGGATCAAGTATCCTTTCTGATATGTACCACAAGAAATGCTTGATGCTGATACAGGAGAGGATCATGTTTGATAAAGTACTAGTATTCATTCTTTCATGTGTACTTTTTCAGTTCTGATGAACATAATGAGATACATTACATGTGCATTTTCATATCCAAGGAGTCATATTCGTTCTAGCATCAGAATCCGTTTCATGTATTCTTTATTTGTGGTTCAATCTACATTGCCTTGAAGTTCAGCGATCGACTTTCTTCCAAGTGTTGTGTGACGGGAATTGGTTATATCAATATATAACTATATATAATGAGATCATCGTTATAACTGAAGCTTAAGTTAAACCTATTTGCCAAACTATTTTGGTTTGCCAATTATAACAGATTCTGTATAATGTACATTATCAGATCAGATATAAGCGGTGTTTATGGGGATGCCTGCCTATGTTACCAAATAACAGGGAATAGTATATGTCGTTTTTCATACTACTAAACCACTATGGATCAGTAAAAGCAATCTTCGCCTACTTGCTTTTTAAAATTCAATGAGATTTACCTGTACCTGTACCCGTCAAAACAATGTCTGACGCTCTTTTAAGACACATGTCTGATGAGCTTTGTAGCCAATATGTTCAGATTTGAAACAAAGCAAACAACATGAGAGGAGTAATGTTGAAACAACGTGATTCTTTCTCCTTATTATAACAGCATTCGTTCTCGTGATAAGTACATGTAGCATAATACTGCCAAAAGGATTTCAATCAATCATTTTCTTATATAAATACTACCACCACTTTCATCAATGTTGGACAGTGACAAAAAATGATTTTCTACCCGAAATCACATATTTTTATGTTTAGGTATATATATTTAGCATACAGAACATATTTATAGTGAGTGAGTGTGGTACAATGTGTGAGCTTCACACTTCCTCCCCACCCTCCCCTTTTCATAGGAATGGAGCTATTACAGCTATTATCATGAGTAAAAGGTTAATTAAAATTACGTCCGTTCTTTTAAAAGCCTGTCTCAAGCATCTTTGTATATGTATGTATGCAAAAGAGCATGTTGATTTCTCAGTTCTTAGCATTATAACTTCGAAATAAAGAGTATTGAAAAACAAACAAACGCTAATGTACATGTATACTGATGACGTTTGAATAGTTTTCATCTATCGTCACCCAAATGAAATATGTAAAGGTTGTTTGTGCTGCCCGACAGAAAGATCGTATTGATGATATATTCCACTTGATTACAATTTCAAGAAGAATGGGCTTTGTATTGATGTTCGTCTGCATTAAACTAATCAGCGTCCAGTTGTCAAGGAACCCCATGACGTCATTCATTGTTCCTTTTCGTCGATGCATTCCAAAGCAATCCCATTTCTGTCTCAGAAACTTTCAGCGTCAACAAGACGGCAAACGAAAGTTTGTCGAGAGCAGGAACAGTTATTTTACAATGTCGATGAACGCCTTTAGTTTCAAATGGGAGTCCCAGGTAAACAATGCCAAGAAAACAGGTTTCCTTTCTATTGGTTGAAAATATATTTCTCTGGTGTATGATGTCCCCTAAACACCACATATATGTCGCCTAATGTAGACAGTAACTTGTATCAAATGCACCTTCGTTTTCTTAAAGATGTGATTTTAGCCATAATATTTATTATTTAACCTAAAGAGCTTGTCATTCTGAAACATGTCTCAAGATGTTCCGTGGTGAACATTGATGATAATTGAACTTTGATGCATAAACCTTCATAAACCCTTCGGCTTTGAACAGTCGTGGAGCAAAAACGCCAATGAAGTATGGGTATTAATATCACTGTCACAAGAAATCGTCTCAGCAAAATTAAAGCAAGTTGGTCAGCTTAAACTCATGCTTATTGACAAATGATGACACCATATGTCCGTGAAACACTGCCAAATAGTGACGACAGGGGTGTTCCATAACAGGGAAGCATATCCCACCAAGGCGGCAATAAAGGGCAAGGTCACGTCAGAGAGCTCTGATCTTTTCAGGCCATGATCCATTTGTTTTCTAAAATCCTTTGCAAACAGCCACTTGTACTGACCAACTTACTTCTGTCAACATTATCTGCCTCTTATTAAATGCTCATAAGGCATATGGTACCGCCTAATGTGCTGAAAAGAAAATCATGCGTGAGATCATTCCTAGAACTCTGTGAGATGTGTACCACTGCTACTCTCTGGGCAGGGTATCGCTTTTGATTTGATGAACACGTCTCCAGAATTGCCTTAGTCAGCAACATCGGTATGAAATTCAATCAAATCTAATTCAACATTGAATCTTTCTAGACACGACGTCATGAGGATACGGCACACCAATGGTTAATCTAAAAACTCAACGAGGTTTCTAGTTCATTCCATCCATTCGTTTAAAGGGTGGTGGTGCTAAACGCTCTGGTGCAACTTTGTGCCCAGTTCGAGACATTGTAATTAATACTCTGTGTGGAACTTAGACATAGTCTGTGTGTTAATCAGGGTAATCAATAACTGCTAAATTGGTAGACATCATGACTTTTGACCCTAACAAACCCAAGTGAATGAAATTTGCTGGGAATGCCAATAACACAAGCATAGTCACCCTTTAATAAGTCAGGTAATCACTGATTGGTGCTCTTACCTCGATAACCATAATTGATAGTATCGCCAGACTCCCGAGATGGATTCCGGTGGAGACTTCGTGTATTTTCTCATACTCGCTGTGGAAATGCTGATGCTTCGTCGTGTCCTGAGCCACGTGCTCTGGGTAGTACTCCGCAACAAGAAAGAAACTCTCCTTAACGTTGTTAATCTCCAAAACAAACAATTTGCTGAGGTCGAGAGGAGCAACTGTATCATTACCTGACGTTGTCCTGTTTTGAATCACACTATTGCCATCATGCAATTCCGTAAAATGGGTAGCACCACCCCCTCCATCGTCAAATATCCCACTAGTCAAGGGTTTTGTAGTCACAATATCACTCTGAGAAGATTTGGAGGAACTATTTACAGGTTTTCCATTGGCTTTAGCTGTGTCTTTGATTAATGTGTAATCCTTAGGGTTTGGCATAGTTATGTTGGGGTTCTGCCTACAGTTGCAAGGTAAACAGTATAGATCATTCTCATTGTTTAATCTGATATTACTCTGCAATTTGTAGATGATATCCTCCATCGTCCTCCCTTCAAAAGAATGAAATTCCTCTGGGTAGGTCTTTTTCAGATAATCCACAAATCTTTGAATTTCGTGTTCTTCATTTTCAAATCTGACTGCAAACAGAAAAGAAGACCATATTATTACATATATACAAAGAACAGTTTGGTGAGACAATATAGAGAGTGGGGAGTGAATTCATGTACAGTTACCAATTATGTTTCGTAGCTCGTAAAACAGACTTGGCGTCATGTTGGAATGTTTCGCCGTAATTATGGATAACGTCAATGGATCACGTTTTTTTGCTTCTGTGACACCTGAATACCGGAATGGGCCAAAACCATTCAGTGTATCTTGTTCTAAGCAATCAAAGAGATGTCATTGGTGGAGTATTCCTTTCATGGCACTTTCTTTCAAAGTAAGAAATGAGAAAAAAGACACACTTTTCGAAAGTGAAGAGTCCGAAACATTTCGTCATCCAAATCAATTCCACAACGTTGTTCAGTCAATCAGATTGCACTAAATCCTCATATGACAATTGATATATGTGCGCCGAATGATAGGACGTACCAGCAAGAAGACAGTATGTGTGAGGGAATAAAACAAACTACTTATGCTATCAGTACTACAGGACATGCTTTCCCTTTCGTGAACACCTGGTGCTATCACAGAGTTTCGGTGATTAATTCATGTTAATTTTAATTGCTTTTCAAGTCAAATGGAATATGTTTCGGTAGATATTGAAACTGGATGACTTTCTATATTTAGATTTAGTGACCAATAAAACCATCACAATTACAGAAAAAATTCAGAATAATATAGGATTGATATAATCCAAAATTAATGAATTGGCACCTAACAAAAACGACGATGTGTCATGAACTAAATAGTCATTGCAATCACAACCGAGACAAATATGAAAAAATACGACCCTGAAAGTTATTGAAATAGACATGACTTCAAAACAGAGCACTTCTGATTTAACGGACCCTTGCCTAGGGGAGTATTACGAGACTAGCCGACTTTCTCGCTGTCTTCCGATGTCCAAACTTTCATTTCCTCCAAACCTGAGATGACACTCAAACTCAATGAAAACTGGTTAAATTTAGAACGTAGGCAAGAGAAAAACGACACCTCTCTCTAAGTGTAGCATTTCAACGAAAATCGAATTAGGTTTCTAAACAAAATACTTAAAGCTATATTGAGTCTGAAGTCAGGACTTTTTTCACAGTTCCAATTTAGCAGCTTTCTGTCTGTCGAATCCTGCTATGCTCACGGGTAATCGATATAGTGTTACACTCTGCAACTTTAGCTGGATTCTTTTACAGATATGAGTAACAGAACTGCCCCTAAGGGCTTTCAGTCCTGTTAGAAGAATATAGATCAGATCGGCCCTAGATGCATGTTACGTGAAGGCCATATGTTATAAATCCTACTTCTTTTCGATGAGGGTTACTACAAACTGTCCAGTTTGATTTTATTTATTTCTGGGACACTGAAATTGCCAAAAACGGTTTAATGAATTGGACATAAATGTACTGTTGGGTAACTGAAAATATAGCATCTTCTCAACAGAACAAAAAATTCATTTCGCTTTTAAAAACATGTATTGAAATTACAGTGGTGATGGATGTATTCTTCGCAGGCCTGTACAACGTGTGACTAGCATTGTGATTCCATTGTGAATCCATGAAAAAATTCAGAAGCTCTGAGAGCACATCGATAACGTTTGTTACGTAACATAACACGTCTCACCCACGGTCGCAGTAATTACATCACATTTTGAATCGAACAAGTTATTGCTTTTTGAGTGCTATTTCAGATCGCATATTCCCTTTGAAATAATAACGATCCATGTGAAATGACGTCCAGAAATAAACAGATATCGACAAATACATCCTGAACTTCGTAAGCGGAAAGCAATCGGGTTAATTGGAAATTGTCATAGTGCTATGAACTTTCACTTTGTTGTGTGCAACAGAAGCATGAAAATATAAACACATGCTTTCAAAATACCGCTGCGTGCGAGAAACGCCCGGAAACCCTATAAACATGTATTAACGATTCCAATCAAATGATAACGAGATCATAAAAAGAGGTGTACATGTACTTTGAAATCTTGTCACCGTGGAAGTGTGTTTATAATCTTGGCAAGAGTGAGTTAATGAGTATGATTTTACGCTTCGTTTGGCAGTTCTAAAGAGTGGGTTAGTGAGTGAGCAATATTCCAGCAATATCACTACCTGAGACACCAGAAATGAGCTTCACATATTGTACCCATGTGGCGAATCGAACCAGGGTCTTTGGCGTGACAGCGAACGCTTTAACCACTAGGCTATCCCACCGCCCGGCAGTTATAAAGAAATGTCACGGTGGACACAAGAAAGTGTTTTTTCATACTGTGTGAGGAATCGAACGTCGGACCTCGGCATGACGAACGCTTAACCACTGGGCCACCCAACCGCCCATTGTTAACAACAGGTTGAGCGAGTCATTATACATCACCAGGAAAAAGTGACAAAATATTTGGCTGTTCAAAGTTTAATGACATTTTATTACGATCATGAGACTGTAACCTACTATCTTGCGACTTAAAATACGGTGCAATTATAAAAAATGAACATCTCGGAATAATAACCGCACATGGTTATAGGCTAAAATTCATTTTATATGGCATCATCAATAGGTTTACTGTCATTTTCCTCAAGCTTTCAGTATACTAGTACATTATGGAACCAATGAATTCCTCCTCGTGTCCTTACTAAATAACAAAACCTGAAAGTATGTCTTATGCTCGTGGTTCTTTTGTATTACCTAACTAGTCTAAACCATTAATTAATTTATTTGAAACTTAAGAATGAGCGAGTTGGCTTACAACAGCATTTGAGTTATGTCACGTTGTGAACATGGCACATCTCCTTTGTGCCCAAATCCCGGGGTGATCTGTATCTTTACCACTAGTAAAGGCCCTGACTGAGAATCATCAGGACAGTCTAAGATAAGAACCCGCAATATTCGTTATATCAACTAGTTATGAGCATATTTACTTATATCAGCAACACGAATACAGAACAACCAACCACCAACCACGATCACACAGGAGCGTAATTGTGCATACGGATTGGGTAAAGTGCACTTTCAAGGCTTGTATATGAATTGGGTTTGATTATCTATGAGATAGGTCTGAGACACAGCCATACTTCCACCTGTATTTCGCATTTCGTATGCATGCATGCTCCTAAGACATGGAGTTCCATACTTTGTAGGTGACCCGTGAAATTTGGTTTAGAATTGGTCTTTAGCAACCCCTGCTTGTCGTAAGAGGCGACTAATGGAATCGGGTGGACAGGCTTGCTGACTTGGATGACATATGTCATCGTATCCCAGTTGCAAAGATCGATGCTCATGATGGATTGCTTGGTCCAGACTCGACTATTTACAGACCGCCTCCATATAGCTGAAATATTGCTGAGTGCGGCGTTAAACAACAAACAAATCGTATAAGGATTTCTGGGGCAGGACTTGTCATCAGTACATCATGCTTGTGAAATGATCCGGGTATTTGTCATGATGATAGAAGATTACGCTGTGGGAACTCGCCGCTGGTGGTATCATTCCCCGATGTCATTGACCAGTAGTGTTGCTCATACTCTCTCAGCTACTGACTTCCCTGGGCAAAGCTTGCTTATTTACAAATCACTGGAATGTTGCTGTGTACAGCAAAATTCAATCTCTCAAGATATGATGAGCACAAAAAGGCGAGCATACCGAGGACACCATGTATTTATATGGTTAATGCGCAGAAGCACGGGTCGTGAACGAACATAAACCTACACTTACGACGTAAATCAGAAAGTCAGTTGCTTGTTTGCCAAGGCTTTGGATTCCTTCCATTTTTTAGGCAACAGCAGTTCGAGTGACGAGTGCAAGAATCCCTAGTTTATTGAGGAAAAACAACACGAAATGAGTTTCGCGAATTCAAGCTCTCAATAATGGTCAGATCAGGTTAAACACGTTAAAAATCTTACAACCTGGATAAGTTGCTTCTACCAACTACCGAGCGCTAGTGAATCGATTCGATTTAGTTCGTGTTACGACTGACTGACTGAGTATGGTTTTACGCCGTTTTTAGCAATATTCCAGCAATATCACTGCGGGGGACACCAGAAATGGGCTTCACAAATTGTACCCATGTGGGGAATCGAACCCGGGCCTTCGGCGTGACGAGCGAACGCTTTAACCACTAGGCTACCCCACCGCCCCAGTTCGTGTTACGATGTTTGGGTTGTATTACTGTATTAAGTTATCATATGGTGCACTGCACATGCAGCTTCCCATTCCCCACGTGTCTTCGACAGTGACTTTGGCTGGGAACCTTTTAATTCACACTGACTTTGATGCATATTACTTTAAAAAGAAGTCTAAAATACAACTTCAGAAAGGCAAATCCAAATCATTTTACCGTGCAAAAGTTGTTTTCACAAAGGAATAGACTTCAATCGTACGTTTATATTTCACACTTGACTTTCTGACATCATAGAAATCGTACAGTCTCTGATTTTAGCACATGTTTATCATGTTTCTGTAAAGGGTTCAGAAGCTAATTATATTTATATGAAACAGTTCTTTCAGAACTGAATGATAACATCAAGTGTACACACTTCATTACAATCCTCAAAGAATGCTACTTGTTTTCTAAAAGCTCCATACAACAGAGGGTGTCTATATGCTTCTACATGTATGTACACATGACAGGAAGCAATCCATACTAGCATACATTGCACACAAGACCATATCTATGAGTCAATAAACCTTTATGTCTGTAGAGCTATTGAGCCGTTATTAATTTCTCTCCTCAGAAACTATTACATTCATTTTCTGGAGCAAATATATCGTGTAATGTACCGTGTAATCGGTCTCTCGCCGCCTAAGATACATGATTATGTTGTCTTCGACGATATACCCTCCAGCCAGAAGAGTTGAGTGTTTTTGTCGCATATATTATTTAGATAAACCTTTACTAACTGACTTAGAACGATCTTTTTGTGACCGAAAGTTGAAAGACACATCTTTAGTCTTATAACGGAGAACTTCCTTAACACGTTTTGATCTTTGCCATCTAATGGTGTTTTGTAAACATAACACATTATATATTTCCAAAGGTGTTGATCTTTATCAAACTTTAAACATGAGCACAGCACAATACACATGCAATACAATTATACTTTTTATTACAAAACTACAGGAGAGCCTTGCGGCTTAATACCCGCTTACCTATAATGGAAATTTATTTGATTCCGTGTTGTCGACATTTCTTGCTGTTAGATAACATTAACATTTGCTGTGGTCGAGTTTGTGTCGTGGTGATGTATGCATTATGACAATGGAAAACGACTTTTTTACTGTAAATAATACGTGTTCGTGTATTCATTTCGATAAAGCACACCGACTTTAACATACTACCTGTTATCCAGAGTCAATAATGTGTTGTGTTCGTGTATATATTATGTTAAGGCAAAACAACTTTATGATGGCACCCGTGAAGGTCCGGGTTAGAATGAACCTTCAGTAACCCATGCTTGTCGTAAGAGGCGACAAACGGGATTGGGTGGTCAGGCTTGCTGGCTTGGTTGACACATGTCATCGGTTCCAAATTGCGCAGGTCGATGCTCATGCTGTTGATCACTGGATTGTCTGGTCCAGACGCGATTATTTACAGACCGCCGCCACATAGCTGTAATATTGCTGAGTGCGGCGTAAAACTCAACTCACTCACTCACTATATGATGGTTTCTGTTAAGTGTTGTCCTCATGCATACAATATGTTTAAAAAGATTTCCACATGGTACGTGTTTTCTGTAGTCAATCATGTGTTGTGCTTGTGTTTACATTACGACAGAGGAAACGGGTTTATAATGATACCGGTCCTCTATAGCCAACCATGCATTGTGCTCGTGCTTACATTACGACAGAGGAAACTATTTTATTATGGTACCTGTCCTCTATAGCAAACCATGCATTGTGCTCGTGTTTACATTACGACAGAGGAAACTGTTTTATGATGGTTCCTGGTCGCTATGGCCAACAATGCGTTGTGCTGTGTTTACATTACGTTAGAGGAAACTATTTTATTATGGTACCTGTCCTCTATAACCAACAATGCGTTGTGCTGTGTTTACATTACGACAGAGGAAACTATTTTATTATGGTACCTGTCCTCTATAACCAACAATGCGTTGTGCTGTGTTAAAATTACGATAGAGGAAACTATTTTATTATGGTACTTGTCCTCTATAACCAACAATGCGTTGTGCTGTGTTTACATTACGATAGAGGAAATTATTTTATTATGGTACCTGTCCTCTATAACCAACAAAGCGCTGTGCTGTGTTTACATTACGACAGAGGAAACTGTTTTATTATGGTACCTGTCCTCTATAACCAACAATGCGTTGTGCTGTGTTTACATTACGATAGAGGAAATTATTTTATTATGGTACCTGTCCTCTATAACCAACAATGCGTTGTGCTGTGTTTACATTACGATAGAGGAAATTATTTTATTATGGTACCTGTCCTCTATAACCAATAATGCACTGTGCTGTGTTTACATTACGACAGAGGAAACTGTTTTATGATGGTACCTGTCCTCTATAACCAACAATGCGCTGTGCTGTGTTTACATTACGACAGAGGAACCTGTTTTATGATGGTTCCTGGTCGCTATGGCCAACAAAGCGTTGTGCTGTGTTTACATTACGACAGAGGAAACTATTCTATTATGGTACCTGTCCTCTTTAACCAACAATGCGTTGTGCTGTGTTTACATTACGATAGAGGAAACTATTTTATTATGGTACCTGTCCTCTATAACCAACGATGTGTTGTGCTGTGTTTACATTACGACAGAGGAAACTGTTTTATGATGGTTCCTGGTCACTATGGCCAACAATGCGTTGTGCTGTGTTTACATTACGACAGAGGAAACTATTTTATTATGGTACCTGGTTTATAATGATACCGGTCCTCTATAGCCAACCATGCATTGTGCTCGTGTTTACATTACGACAGAGGAAACTATTTTATGATAGCTCCTGTCCTGTATAGCCATCAATGCAGTATGCTCGTGTTTACATTACGATAGAGGAAACTGTTTTATGGTGGAACCTGTTCTCCATACAAAAAATGTATTATGCTGTTGTTTACATTACGACAGAGGAAACGACTTTATGAGGGCACCTGTTCACTATAGCTAATAATGCATTGCCCTTGTGTTTATTTTACGGTAAAGGAAACGACTTCAACATGGTAAATGTTCTCTGTGGTCAATAACGTGTTTTGTTTATGTTTACAATACGATACAGGAAACGACATTAACATGCTGCTTCTCTATAGTCATGATTGTGTTGTGTGCATATATACAGTACGATGAGTGATTGAGTGAGTTTAGTTGTACGTCGCTTTTAGCAATGTTACAGCAATATCACGGCGGGGGACACCAGAAATTGGCTTCACACATTGTACCCATCTGGGGAATCGAACCCGGGTCTTCGGCGTGACGACTAGACGTTTTAACCATTAGGCTACCCCGCCGCCCCCACAATACGATGAAGGGGAGGGCTTAATGTGTTACCTGGATTCAATTGTAATGATGTGTTGTATTGTTATGTAAACATTAGGTAAAAACAAAATTAACAAATGTGTACTCAGTAGTCAATACTCTGCCTTGTTATGATAAAGTAGAACATGTTTCACCTGTTTCCTGCTCTCTATGGTCATCATTGTGATATGTTACATTATGACAAGGGAAAATGATCTTGTTAGTGGCTTCACATTAGTCGATTTTAAATTGTGTTCTTGTCCACATGTTGGCTGCAGATTGACTGAAGATATGAAATGAAACAAAACACCCCACTCGTAAACTTGAACCAAGGCACCAGGGGTCAATTAAACAGGCCAGGCGTTAGTTGAAATTTAGAAATACATTACTTACACCTAATCCCCTGCAGGTCGACCATGAGCTCCACCAGCACGCAGACACACTCAATGACGACCAGTGTACACACGGCAATCAGAGCGGGTCTGCTGTCCAGGAACTTCAAAGTCTGTTGCCGGCAACTGAAAGAAAAACATTTGTGTAGAGTTAAGTGAATGATGACTGTCTAAATACCATAATTACCGTGAGGCCATGCAGGAGGTTTCTGATTAGAAGCTTATTTTAAAATGACCGGGTCAATGCCCTCTTTTTCTCAGCTGCAGTCTTGGCGCCAAGAAATAAACTGGGCAAGGAAAAAACTCCTCCGTTGAAAATTCGGACTTTATCGACGACTTTATACTCTTTATTCTCACTTCAGAAAAGGAAATAGTTCACATGGTCTTTTTGTCGAACAAATGGACAGTGGAATACAAGTTGGTGGACAAGGATCACCACTACCACCACCACCGTCGTCGTCGTCATCATCGTTATCATCATCATCATCATCATCATCATCATCATCATCATCATCATCATCATCATCATTTATCATAAACATCATCATATTAATCACAAACATCATCAACAACATAAAACTGTTATCAGATTAATGCAGTCCTCTATATGTGAATAACGTTTTGTTGTCATTCGCTGTATATCAGGTGTTTCAACTTTTCGTCATTGGTTTGCTACTAGTATTCACTCACTTCACTTGATTTGTCGGGGATGGAGGGGTTTTGATGGTGGGGTCGCTGGGCTGGTGTTGTGCTTACTTGTAACACACAGGAAGAAGGATCGACTTCCATCATGGATACAACATGTGAACCGCGTTCCTGATGTTCTTGGTGAAATGATAGGTAGTCTAAGACATGCCACCCATTCGAAGATTGTAGTGAACGTGATGAACACAGGAAAAATATCACTGTCTCTAGCAAAGGAGATCAGCGAATAATGAGGTATTTCATTGAGTGGCGTCATTCTTTATCCGAATCAGATAAAATATACTCGCAAAGATTTAACCCATGACAGTCATTCCTATATTGACTATATATCTCAGCAACCTGGCTACTGGTTTGGCTTGTACCGTATTTATTTTGCCATACAAACAATTGACTTGCCCTTGCACGTGTTTGTGACGGATGCCATCGGCGTGGCAGGATACGATCCACTTTTCGACAGCACCTGGTACATCACTGTTTGGAGCTTATCCGCAAAAACAACCTCATCACATAGTCGGAATCGAACAATTATTATGGAAAATGTTTTAAGGGGCTTTGGCTTATATTTGAAAACCGATTTTACCCGAATCAGACGTGAGGACGGTCGTGGCTCTAATTACAGCGGCACACTATACCTGTCACAACTGTGATGGTTTGTTTGTTGTGTTGCGCCGCACTAAGTTCATGGCGGTCTGTAATCAGATCTAACCTTGAAGACAGTAAGGTGACCACTGAACAAAGTAGGCATACAAACAGGTGTCGAATCCACATTCAATTGACTGTGTTGTTGCAGAGTCATCGACCTTTGTCCCAACCTTTCCTACAGCCCCACCCCTCTTGCCCCTTCAACAAATATTGTAATAATTTTGTGGCTAATCCAAGCTATAACACGGCAGTCTTTTCATAACCAAGTAGCAACCAGTGGTTAATATCATGAGTAAAGTCGCACGCCGTCTTGATACGACGTCATGCAACGAACCAAGTCATTGAGTCTGGCCAGATTTCGCATGACAGGCAACAGTGTACACATTTAACCTGCTAGTCCATTGAACGATTCCGACAATGCCGTCTGTGTGTATTTCTGAATCAGTAACACTTAATGATAACATCAGGTCTTTAAGAAACAGTGAGCGCTCCACTGGTTCCAGCCGTCACGTACACAATCACGCAAATGCAACGAAGTCAGCGTGTTCTTCCCCTGAAAGAACACGGGTGGTTTGGTAGCCTAGTGGTTAAAGCGTTCGATCGTCATGCCTAAGACCCGGGTTCGATTCCCTACATTTGCACAATGTGCGAAGCCCATTGCTGGTGTCCCCCGCCGTGACATTGCTAAAAGCGGCGTAAAACCCAACTCACTTACTCACTCACTGAAATAACACATATCTGCTATAAATCTGATTGGATACACCCACAAAGGCACGTCAAGTGTACACCTTAACAAGCAAGGGAAAATAAGAAATACGTGAATATTTTTGAGAATATGCCTCGATCAACAAACATGTACCCACAGGTTATACTAATGAAAAGTCAACATCGAAATTTCGCTAAATCCAGTAAACCAGAAATTACAGATAATCTTGCTAATCATGCCATGTCGAATGAACGATTCCAGTTGAGTGACATGCGCAGATGTTACCTTGAGGAGTAAGGAAAACACATTAAGTAGGTTCAAGTATTTCAAGTATTTGTTTATTACGTGTAACGAAGTTCAAGGTATATACACCGGAGGTTACTATCCTTAAAGTTGTATATTTTCATACTGATAAATGATTAGGGACCGTTAGATGTTTGATTGGCATTTTAGAAGATGCTATTTGATGAACATAGAGACTTTTCTGGGTTTCATTTTCTTTTTATTGTTTGGTACAACGTTTCAGGGCTTGTTCTGGCCCCATCATCAGGTAGAACTAAAGAACGGTGAACTGTTCTAGTGAACTAAAGAACTGTTCTTTAGTTCTACCCGATGATGGGGCCAGAACAAGCCCTGAAACGTTGTACCAAACAATAAAAGAAGACGAAACCCAGAAAAGTCTCTATGTTCGATAAGGGACCGGTAGTTTTTCTTATATATACAGATCTAAACACAGATTCATTCACCCTATTGAGGGAATTTTGGTGCATCACAGCCGCAGAAGGCGCGATCACTCATGTATATTTAGATCCAGCAGTTGATACCTACAGATCCTGACAGATAAGAGCATTTTCTGTCTGAGCTGGTGTCAATGCATCCCAACCACACGCGTTAAGGATGCCTACTGTCACCGTGATGTGTCTGTCGCTGACGTTTGAAGGTCACATTACGTTACCCTTGTACGTTTTTTACAAGACGAGAAGAGAAAGAGAGGACAGAAGACCAAATTGTACCCTGTGATGGTCAATTAATGAAGCTGGAGACTTTGCGTGCAGTCTTTGTCACTAATGAGGTTCCCAAGGGACCGTCTCAAGGCTATGTTTGGTTATTTTAGGCGTGAGTGAACGACTCTTGCCATTCTGTGAAAACAGAACAACAGTAGCATCTGTCATTGATCAAGCGTGTGTGCTTTTGCTGGGGTAAATATAGCATTAACGAATGTTTTCTTGAAATAAGATAACTTTCATTACCGATCAGTTTATTTTAACAAGGAGGAGAAATAACACTCGTGTTTATGCATTTTGAACATGTTTATTGCAATGTTTGAGGGTGATCAAACTTTTCATATTTACTCTCTTTCAGCCATTTAACATTGTACATACATTAATCATAATTTACTTTAGCTTAATCATCATGCCATGACGATTGAAACGATTACAAGTGAGTGACATGCGCAGATGGTAAGTTAAGGAGTAAAGGACATTCATTTTGTAAGTACGAACTTCAAGTATTGCTCAAGTATAATTTAGCTGTCATGCACTACGTACGTAGGTATATTTTGTTATTAGGCAGTGTTGTACAATAATATTTGGTACATTAGATTCATGGTACATTAGATTCAGCAAGGGAAAGTGGTGTGCTGCATTTACACTTGTTCTTGATTTAGACAGAATGATTTGGAATGGGTTACAAGGATGATTCAAGAATCATATGCCTTAGAGAGGTATATAAGGGGAGTTAACTCTTGCCTCTTATCTCACATTACATCTCAAGCCAGAAGAAGACCATCATTGTGATGATCATACCTTGGATATCTTTGCTAGGCCCTTTCTTCCAAGTAGGATCACTGTTGCTGAGAGGTGAATATTTCCATCATTGTCTTTATAGCTGTAATCACTGCCAGTGTATTATATTACCTTATATTTATACTGTAACATAATTATGTTCTGCCATAGCGATACCCTTGTACTGATTTATGAACTTTGTTAATTATAGAATAGGGCATTTCGGCACTTCGAGAGACATCAGGACTTCCAATGACAAACAACGTTTTATACCTTTTCGAATGGTCTCATGGTTGTCATCTTACAGCAGAGACCATATCTATTATATGGTCTCTGCTTACAGTAAGGAACCGATAATCCTTGCAGGAATAACAAATTTCTGATCAAAACATATTAGCAAACTATTACGACTGTCAACAGCTGTGACAACCAAGCATGGTTGTACACTTGGTCCGGTCTAGTAAAGTCATATTTGGCGGTCGCGCAATTTGGAACCCAAACTGGTTGATGAATATACGCTTGTCACCGGAAATCTAGTACCGGAAGGAAGCTGGGACCCGTCTGGATATCGCAAGGTTGCGCACGCAATGGGTACCGGGAACCAGCTTAGTACCGTAAGTAGTGTCTCGCGAGGCCCTATACACCAGTTAATTAAAGCACACGTCCTTGTTGTTTATTGGTGTTACACCTAAATACTTTTATTATTTCTTTTACGGACTGATTCCAGGTTAAATGTTTAGTTTCAGCTTTGGAATCAATATGTGACAATGTGCACATGGAAAATGGTGATGGTAAGCTAGTCTATTAGCTATTTGAGAGGATAAGAGACACATAATATACATATGTAAGCTCGAACTATTTCAACAAGAACATGCCCATGTGAGACGATGTGATATTAATATATTAGTGCACTGAGTATAGTTTTACGCCTCTTTTAGCAATACTCCAGCAATATCACGGCAGGGAACACCAGAATTGGGCTTCACACACATGTACGCATGTGGGGAATCAAACCCGGGCCTTCGGCGTGACGAGCGTAACCATTAGGCTACCCCACCCAGTATTGGGTGAACTAGGATTCAGTAACTTATATCTTATATCTGCTTATATGTGCACTCCCTTTGTCTCGAACAACGGATAATTATATAGATTATATACTCTCCCAAGAAAGAAACGCATATAGGAATTTCAACTGTATTTTTATGTTTATTTTGAAACATCTTGTAGGCTTTATGAGTCAATGAAATATAGCGAAATTGCACACTGGGAATGCAGACTTATCCGTCTGT